CCCACACCCACCCACACCCACACCCACACCCACACCCTACAAATATCCTGAATTAAGAACGTTCTATTATATACCCGAAGCATACAAAACTCAAGCTGATTTATTAGATGCTAATGAAATCAAACAAGCAAGTGAAAATTTTATTTCATTATATTCGAATATAATTGAAAATAGCGATACAAGATTTGATGAATTAATTCGAGAAAAAGCTGTTGAACTTTATGAACAAGGTGTTCGTTCATTTCAAATTAAAGTATGTTTAAAACAAAATTCAACAATAGATTTTATTTGATTCTTTTTTTGTTCTTTTCTTTCAGTATTATGGTGAGACTCTTGTTCATGTTATTAAATATGAACTAAGAGATGAATTAAATGTAGAAGAAAAACAAGCTTGACAATTATTTACTAAACAAGTATCAGATTGTTTACTTTTGGAAATCGCTAAATTTCCTAGAGAATCAATAGTTTAACAAAATGCGTTCTTTTTTTTCTCTCCCAGATACAATTTTTATTGATTTAACACTAATAAACGAATTATATAGTTTAAGAAAATTAATTTCATTTTTTTTCCTCGTTTCTTAAAATTCTTTACAAATATAAAAAAAAACAAAGAAAAGAAATATTGTTTGTAATTTTATATGTAATTGATTCGTCTTATCTGACATAGATGATTGATTATATTCATATAATTTTATGCAAAGATTTTCTACAAATGAACGAATATTTAATTGTTGTTTTGTTTGTACATGATTAATGTTTATTTCTGAAGGACATTAAAAATTATTCTAAAAAAATAAAAATTGTTTTTATTATTTAATAATTTTTGATATAAAATTTTCAAACAAACCAAAGAACTACAAATAATATGACAATCAGGACAAATAATTGTTCCAACATAGATTGAATCATATTCAGCAGTTACAATAGTTAAATTTTGACCTTGATATTCACAAAGATATTTTTCTTTTCCAATACGAACATAAATTCCTTTGGATGATATACATTCAAACTTAAGAAAAAAAAATAAAGAATTACATTAAAATAAATTTAATTCAAATACATACTTGATAACATCCAGCTGCTTGTGGAGTAACAGGACGTTTTTTATGACATTGTTCAATATATTGTTCCCATATAGAACCATGATCAAAACATTTTGATTCGGAAGAATATTTTTCAAGAGCATAATTTTCTCTATCTAGAAGAGAAGTATATAAAAACAAAAAAGTTTTTTTTTTAATATACTTGGTGGTTGATTTTCTGATCGATAATATCTTGAATCACGATTAGAATTTTTATAGATTAATTCTTGATTATATGGAAAATAATCAGCTAACATAATATGTCCATCAAAACGTGCAAGTTCATTTTCATCAGTTATATTTGGTAAAGAATCAAAAATCTAGTAATAAAAATGAAAATATGATTATTTATTTGCAACAAAAGAAAAACAATAAATTGTTTGAATTGTGAATAATTCAAATATGAAAAAAATTAGTGATCTGTGATATTCAATATTCAAACATAGACATTTCACTTGATCAAGCGGTGAGCACTTCTCAGCAAACATGTTCAATACAATACATTGAAAAAGTTTATGATTAGATTTTTGAGTTGTTAGATGATCGATTAGAAAGATCTTGGAACAGTTTTGATTTATAAAAGGCAGATATTATTTAATGAGTCTGTTGTGAAATTAATAACCTTTTGCTAACATATTACTTAGCTGACTAACAAAATCAATTGACATAGAAGGATTCAATGTTACTGAGATGAACGATAAGTCGAATTTACTAAAACAACTTTAAGAACATCCTTTGTTTCATGGTGAAAACCATATTAACCCTTTATTCCTTCAGAAGCGATTCCAGAAGAGCTACAGGTTAAACAATCATTGAAATAGAATATTGGTGTTTCCAATATACTCTCGTTTGTAACAACAGTTTGGTCACTCTAGTGATCATTAGGAAGAGAACTACCTGATAACAATTTTGTCTAAGATCTTCCATAAATCTGATGTAGTTCGACGAAAAAACATCGTAGACTCTCTAGTGTCTCACTTTGTAGAGAATGTTTTGCTCTACAATATTGTATGGTTTGAGCAAATTTAATGTTCGAGTTGTACGCGCTGTAAAATTAAAGGTTTGGTTACTGATATCAGTAGTAGACATTGTCATCGTATATCTTGTTTGCTGGCAGAAAAACATTTTATTTAAAAAAAAAAAACAAAAAACAAAAAAACTCAACTTTTGTAGTTTTTTTAAACTTATCGATTTTGTAACTCATCTTTCTCGAAGATGGAGCAATATAATACAAAATATTTTCTTATCAATTGATAGTTTATGGAATTCACTACGAGACATGTTTTCTTTCTTTTCTTCAATCGTTCTACAAAGAGTCACTGAAGTGACTAAAGGGTGCGACAAAATAAATGAGCCTCTCAATGTTATCTCAATATCTTTGCCATTTCTTATCGTTTTGGAATGAACTTTCTTCCAAAACATGCAGCATAATATTGTCTGCAAAACCATAAAAAAACGTATGTTAAAAAGATAGGAGCAAAAAATTTTTTCGACGATTACAATGACTATGTATTGGTAACAACTTTTAATGAGGAATTCGCAGCACAACTTTCTGTTTCTTTTGGCTAATAAACAATTGCTACAATCCTTCAAAGCACTATTTCAGACACAATGAAATGTACTCAAACTAATGTGATATACGAAGGATAAAATCACTGTAACAACTATTGAAAAGAAATCTATTCTCTGAATACAGAACCCATATTAACTAAATTTTCTTTTGTGGCTTTAACTTGATCAAGAAAGATTTACCTCGAATAAATCGTCTGTTCGCGAAACAACAAATATGAGCTATGAAGACTTATATTTCTCTTAAATCTGAAAAAAAAACGAATACACATTTTGCACGAAAGACGTCTATCAAGAACTTGATTAACTATGACTATAAAATAGAGTTTTTCAAGCTCTAAAAAATCGACAGAAAAGCTTTTCTATATTTCAACAGTACAGTGAACGTCAAAAGTCTCGCACCACTTTTTTGTTTTGAGTCGTGTATTTAAGCTACACAACATTAATTCAATTCCATCATATGTTTGGATAGCAGAGATCGAGTACTGTGTATGTACATTTGTTCAATTCGAAAAAGCCTTGAATATGAAATACCATAAGAAAAACAAACTCCAGTACTAAGAACAAAATTACATAAAAAAAGACAAAATGATATTATTGTTATAGGATACTTTCATAGGCAGTCAACCATAAAAAACTCAAAGTATTCAGAAAACTTATCATTTTAACAGACTTTGTAGAGCTTTTTTCGCTGATCATTTTGGTAAAAAAATATTTTGAATTTCATTGAGAAATGACGGTATTATAATCAAAATATTAAACACTGTGGAATACCCGGTGTTTCAAAAATGTTTCCAACATAGTTTGTTTTGTGAATATCTCTGCAAAAACAAATGGTAAAATCTTGGTTTTATTTCAAAAGATGCGCCGTGAAAAGCTCTACAAAATCTGTAACAATAAATTCTATTGACTTCTTTTGATCATTTCTTCTTATACTCAAAATCAAAACAATAATCCCTGATAGTGCTACTTTCCACCGTACTTAACATAATAAAAATGTCTGGAAGACTGTTATATTTTGCACGTATCTCGGCTTAAGAAAATGATAGCATCTTGATTTTTTTTTCAGAAGATGCACCGTCAAAAGCTCTACAAAAGTCGTATAAAGAAATTCCTATTGCACAGCAAAAAGCCTTCCAAATATTTTTATTATCATTTTGTCTTTTTTTATATAATTTTTTTCTTAGTACTGGAGTTTGTTTTTCTTATTCTATTTCATATTCAAGGATTTTTCGAATTGAACAAATGTACATATATAGTACTCGATCTCTACTATCCAAACATATGATGGAATTGAATTAATGTTGTGTAGTTTAAATACACGACTCAAAACAAAAAAGTAGTGCGAGACTTTTGGCGTCCACTGTAGTTCTCAAAAATAAGAAAAAATTCAATTTTATGCTTGAAAGTTGTTACCAATACATTGTCACAATACTTGTCGAATAAAATTTTTATTTCTATTTAGAACCAATCAATATAAAATATTAGACTAGTGTTCTCAGAACTTGTTGACTGCCCTATGTAAATAAGCATCAGCTTTTAATTTTAGTATCATTGGAAGACTAATAAACAAGCTAAAGATTTCTAACTTCTTACTTGAATTATATCGAAATATATACCATTTGTAGATCGAACAAACATTATAATCTCTATGAAATTACCATCTTGAGCCTCAAAATCTAATGAAAAGATAATTTCTACTTTGAAACATACATATTCACCACCGAAATGAATAGCTGAATATCCAACAAAAGTCCATTGATTTCTATTTCGATCAATTGTTGAACTTGTTTTAAAACCATCCAGCAAGACAGGTCCTCCAAATGATTCATTTAAAAGACATTCGATTTGATAAAATACATTGATTTTCAATAGTAAAAATTTTTTTAGAATCTTCAATCCATAATTGATGATTATCATCTAATTTAAATGGAGCAAGAATTCGACCATAACTGAGTATACCTATTCAAGAAAATAATTCCAAAGTAATGTTCAATCAGTTTTCGAATGAAGAATTTCATTTAACTTGAGAATCAAAAGGAATGAAGAACACTTTAATCAATGAAATGATCTTATCTTTAGTTTTATTCTCAAATATTACTCGTCTAACTTTCTCATTTCTATCATGAAACTTTTCAACAAATATAGATTTCTCAATAAAAATCATCATTCAGGTAACAGAAACGAATTGAAACGACACAAGTTCAATTGATATTCATTAATCTTTGTCAAACATACCCTGAAAATGAAGAACACTTTTCTTTTCATTATCTTATCATTGATCAAAAATATTTTGATCGATTTCAAAATCGATTTTCGATTGGATTTTCATCAAAAAATATCACTGACAAGGGAACCTCTCCAGGTGTTAAAAAGCTTTTGAGCTCAAATTTTGCTCATAGGTAGAGAATGTATAGACAAGAAAAAAACCTAAGAAGACATGAGTGCAAGTTGCAATTTGGCTGAGATATTGACTTTTTACTACAATCTGCTTATAGGACTTGACTTTTTCGATAAAATCAAAGTTTTGAATTTTGATTTGAAACCCTACATACATTAAAGTCTCAATTAGACTAGTATGCCTACACAGTTTCAGAATTTCTGGATAAATTATCTTCGAGATATGGATTTTTCAAAATATTCGTACATAATACAATATTTATAAAAAGCGCCTATAAGCTAACATACTGGTATCTCGGAGATAATTTATCCAGAAATTTTGAAACTTTCTAGGCATGCTAGTCTAATTGAGACCTCGATGTAGGTAAAGTTTCAAGTTAAAACTCAGAACTTTGATTTTATCGGAAAAGTCGAGTCCTATAAGAAGATTGTAGTAAAAAGTCAATATCTCAATCAAATCGTAACTTACGCCCATATCCTCTTAGAGTTTTTCTAGTCTGTACATGCACTACCTATGCATTAAATTTAAGCTCAAAAGCTTTTTTAGCATCTGAAGAGCTTTCTTTGTGAGATCTGAACTGAATCAACACTCAATTGACATCAAATTCGAGTCAGAATCAACTAATTGACAATTATCGTCACTTGAAATTTCGCTCTCATGATTTCTCAGTTATTCGGAAGGATATTCTCAAAATCTTATTTCAGATTCAATTCAAACATTGACAGAAAATCGAACAACAATAAGTGAAAAATTGATACAAAACTTTATTCACCAGAACCAATCAATGGTAGAAACCTATATTGATCAATTCTGCATGTTATTAAAGAAAACAACTTACGTTTACCAAAACCACCGATGAGATTTTCCACAATCGGAAATATAGTTGTTAAAGAATTTCAATATCGAGTGGCAGATATATGTTCTTGTCGCATTCCTAAAACAAAATCATTATTGATCAATTCACAGTCAACTTTGAATTATTGCTTATAATGAAAACCCGTTCTTTTTTTTATTCAGGATTTTTTGTAAAGAAGAACTTTTTGTTGTTTTTCTCAAATGAAATCTTTGAATTGATCTTAAATTCAGTAGTTCCTCTAACCCATGAACATCTCTTACTTTCTAAACCTGGAAAACTGATAGCTGCTATTGTTTGACCAATTTGACCAACATGAATCGATGGAACAAATAAAACATGAGATTCAAGATGATGCATCAATGAGACAACACAATAATTTGGATAATCAAAATCATTTTCAACACCGAGAAGAGGATCCATTTTGATATGTTTTTCAAAGGCTTCAGAATTGTTTGTACCATTATGTTCATACTTTGATAATGCTGGATAAAATTTCTTTCATTGAGAACCTTCATCAATAGAATAAGATTTGATGATATCGAATGATGATTCAATATTAAATTCATCAATAAACATAGAACTTCGATCAAGAAATCGTGTACGTAATGAGAGTTTTGCATTTGTGTCTAACTTACATATTTCACCTTGATCAATAAATTGAATCTTAATATGAAAAATTTTTATTATCAAAAATCTTTTATTAAGAAGATCTATCCATGTCAAATTTGTTGTGGATTTAAATTCTAATATACGTGCACGATACCAATGTGATTGATAACTCATAGCAACCATTTGTCTGCAATAATATGAAGAAGCTATTGATATACCACAACATTGTCTGATTGCATAGAAATCACTTTTATTGAAAGAATCTTTTATTATTTATAGAAAAAAAATTAAACAAAAATATTTACATCATATTTCGATGAAGATCGTTAAGCATTGGATTTGATTCCATTTCCTCCGATAAGGAGCAGCTAGAAGAAAAAGAATTAGATAAGTCGGATGAGTTTGATAGAGCATTCACCTTGTATATAAGAGATGGAACCAGTTGATTAATTCATCTCTGCTGTATGTTACTAAAAGTTTCGTCTTTTTCTACTAATTTGTAACAGTTTTAATTCCATTAAAATAAACAAATACATTGTACAGAAAGCAAGGGATGACTTAAACAGCTAAGGGTGTGTAGTTTTGGTAAGTCTACTAACACACTAAGTAGACTGATAAAGGGTTCACTAAAGCATTGAGATAGTCATACGGCCTGTCCACGTAATGGTATACCTTGGTGGGCAAAGTTGACCTACTCAATCTGCCAAAACCAATATGACCATCGTGTAGAACGATGCCGATAACATATAGAAATGCATATTTCTTTACATACTTATGCTAATTCTTGGAAGAAAAAGCACTAGGAAAGCGATGTGTCGTGCAAGAGATAAAAATCAATATTTATTATGATTTCTTATTTTCGAGTTTTTCATATATATAAATCTGTCCTTTTCGAAAGCTCTCACATCAATTAATAATGCTTTCAAAGCTCTGTACAATGATGATAAGGGATCTATCATTCTGCGTTTCTTCAGAAATTTATTTACGTTTGTAAATGTAATCCATTGGTGAAGGTGATTCCATCACGAAAATTCCTGATAATTCATTTTTAGCCAAGAGTAATTGTTTTTTTTACTTCAAAAAGCAGTGCTCTAAATACAGTTTTTTACGCTCTATCCAACCAACGAATTGAGTGTTCTTATAAGCATTTTGGCAGGTGAAGAGAACCGTGACGGAATCACCATCGAATGATTAAGTTTTCCCACAAAATTTTGAAATATTATCTTTTTCTGCAGTTATGATGCTGAGCAGATATGAGAATGTGTAGAAGCAATGTTAGAGCCCGATTAGCTAATTTAATAGATGCTTTATAGTGATTCCATGTATTTTCTATCATATAAGTGATTTGAGGGACATTAGCGTAAATAGTGACCGGTCCTAGCACAACTTAGCTGAATCGTTCCCATGAGTTTGCCTGATATTTTCATAGTAGATAGACCTAGTAAAGTTAGGTAGAAACTAAAAATATCAGCTCAAATGGATGAATAATTATGGAGATATAGACATTGTAATATAGGTATCCAGCAACATTTGACCTACTCACGAGGAAATATTTTCAACTGTCAAGTTGCTTTTGAGTTCGGACTCTGTGCATAAAATAGATTCTAATGAGATATGAAAAACTTCAAAAGGATAAGTCCTCTTAGACCTTCTGTCCGGAGTTATAGGCATTTTACTGGAATTTCGGCTATAGCATGATATACACCAATAAATCGAATGACGGTGTTTCGACCTAAGATTTTGCCCATAGACAGATTTATCGGTCAGTAGAATGTCCTGAAAATTTCAGCTCAAAAGAATGTTTTCTTCTCGAAATATTAAAGTTTCAAAAAACGGAAAATTCTAGCATCATTTGTAAGTTATGGATGATTTTTGAGACATTGATGTTTTGAGAAGAGAACATTGTTTTGAGCTGAGATTTTCCGAACATTCTAATGGCCAATAGATCTGTCTATGGGCAAAATCTTAGGTCGAAACACCGTCATTCGATTTGTTGGTGTATATCATGCTATAGGAGAAATTCCAGTAAAATGCCTATAATTCCGGACAGAAGGTCTAAGAGGACTTATCCTTTTGGGGTTTTTCATATCTCATTAGAGTCTATTTTATGCATAGAATCCGGACTCAAATAGATTTGACAGTTGAAAACGTTCCCTCGTTAGATGGCTATATCTAACATATTTTGACGTTTTCAAAGAAAAGGATTTTTATGCTATACAATCGTGACCGAAATTTTTTCTTCATTGATTTTAAACGTATGACAACAGATTGTTTATTCTAAGAAACTATCTTTAAATTTTTAAAGAAAAAGAAAGATAGAAAACATGATCATTTCTCAAACGTGATTCCATCACGAAAAATGTGATTCCGTCACGACACCTTTTTCTGCCCAGAAAATCAGCAATGCATATTTTGCAATTTTTTTTTGTTTTTTTATATAGCTAGGCATCTTAGCTACAACTCTTGTAGAGAGAGTTTTGCCACTACATTTATAGTTGAGCTAAGTTTTTTTACTCTTTGAACAGCACTCAAAATCAAAGTCCATTTTGTGTGATTCCGTAACGTACCTATGTGTCAGTCATAAAACAAACACTAAAACTTGAAATCCTATGAAACTTGAAATCCTATGAAACTTTCAGCATGTGTAGAGGAACTCAACTTACATAGCCTGTGAGTATTTTAAGCCTTATCCTATTTCATTTCGTTGAGATATTACAAAGACAAGAGGAAAAAACGTGATTCCGTCACGCTTGGACAAGCCGCATACATTCTGGATATGTAAGGTAAATGATACATTCTAGTTTCTTAAACATGAACGTAATACATCCTGGAAATTGGAAGGATTGTATCCATGATTTTTCTTTTGATACTTACTATTCTTAATATTACTTTTTTTTTTGTTGTTGTTGTCTTTTGCAAGATAATTTGCAAAGATGTTCAGATAATACATAAAAACACTCCCGTTTTATGATTTATATTCTTCTCATATAGATTGAATACATCTAATCAGCAGATACGTTAAGCATCTCAGAAGTAAGTTTTATTGGGTATGATCAAACTTGAGATATGCTACCGGTTAATGTGAAGAAAATTAAAAACAAATCCGAACCTTAGTTCAGATATATGCAGGGTGGAATAAGGATAAGCATGCTGCAGGATAATGTACGTTCAGTATTAGACAATCAAAGAAGTCAAAACATCAAGAAAAACAAAAATAAGATGACTTGTCAACATAAGATGTGATGACAGAATTTGCTCACCAAAGTAAATGCGAATCTAATGAAGAAAAAGATGAAAGTGAAATTGATCATTATGTTGAAGCAAAATTAATCATCAACAAAGGAAAATCAGCGATAACATATCCTAAATTTAGTATTTTGACTATATCATTATTAGTATATCAAGTACTATACTTCTTTTTCAACTAAGGTAGAGTGGAAAAAAAATGTTTATCAGATAGAAGAATTGTAGAGCTTTTGCAGAGTAGAGTAGACTAAGGAGACAGAGAGATTTTCCATAATAGAGTAGAACAAGGAGAGGGATGGTGGAGGTTCTGCATATTAATGACTAGTAAATTTCACTCAAGCATCGCATCAAGTATGAAAAAAGTTTATCCTGCACATTTCTGTGCGAATCTGATCGGACTTGACAGAGCGAGAAGCTTTCGCATAAGCAGGCAAACATGGATTTTTTTGCTTAAGAATGGCTTTCATTTGACTAAAAATGACAGTATATAACACAGAAAATCGTTTTAAGAAAATAAAATTTTTTAAGAAACAAATTTTTTCGAAAAAACAAATTTTTTTTTTGGTTTTTTTTGAAAAATATGTTGAGCTACATATACATTCAATGTAGTTTGGTGCGCTGATTCCGAATATCACCTTAATTTTTTCTTCTAAGTGTAATATGAATGCTTAAAACTGAATTTTTCGATCAAAAACTTGTATCGATCGTTTTCCACCAAGTTCCACCAAAAATTGACTTTCACAAAAATGACTCTTTTTCAAGGGGGACAGTGCAGGCACCCAGCACCTGACCACCTGAGCACCTGTTCGGCACCTATCAGCACCTACAGCACCTGTTCGGCACTTGCAACCACTCTTCCATTATCTTAAGTACTTTTCAGCACCTAGTAATAAAATTTAGTGTTTAGGCACTGCCCTTTAAATTTTATTACTAGGTGCTGAAAAAGTACTTAAGATAATGGAAGAGTGGTTGCAGGTGCCGTAGGTGCTGTAGGTGCTCATAGTGGAATGCGGTGTACGTGCCGAACAGGTGCTCAAGTGCTGAGATGCTGGGTGCCTGCACTTACCCCCTTGCTCTTTTTATATATGGTCTGATGCAGCTGGACGAGCTGATTCCGAATATCATCTTGGTTTTTCTTAAAACTGTAACATGGATGCCTAAAACCGAATTTCTAACCAGAAGCCTTGGGCTTTTTGGCATCCTGTAAAATAGCCCAGGAAATGTTTCATGAGTTTTTGCATCTATCATAAGTAGAATATATATGTAGGAGCATCTAGTAAAAATTTGAGCTCGAACGGATATTATTCCTTTGTAGCGTTTAGAATATACAGAACAGTATGGTTTCAGGCCCGATTTACTAGTAAAAGTGAGCCGAAAATTTCTTGAAAAACGATTGACTATATATGGTTCGATGCAGCTTGATGAGTTGATTTCGAATATCACCTTAGTTTTTCTTCAAAGTGTAACACGAGTGCTTAAAGTTAGTTTTCCTATCAGAAATCTCAAGTTTTTGGGTATCCTGTAAAAATAGCCTAGGAAAAGTTTCATGAGTTTTTGCATCTACCATAAGTAGAATACACATGTAGGAGCACGGAGTAAAAATGTGCGCTCGATCGGACGTTACTCCTTTGTAGTGTTTACAATATACAGAACAGTACGTTTTCAGATAAGTTTTAGGGCTCGAGATCCTTTGTTATCTACTCTATTTTTAATTGGATTACGATAATTTTTTTCTTTTTTTACAATAAAGCCATAGCTGAGCAATTTTTTTGCGATATTGTTTGCTTGTGGAATATTGTGTTATATTGCCGAATGGCTCGACTTTCTTCATTTATGCCGATTTCTGGGCCCAAGTCTTGTCAGATTCTTTTCTAGAGCTCTATAAAACTTTGAGAACCGCTATTTTAGGAAACGATAGATCCCATATGTATGTATCTATGCAAATAGTTAGATTCTGGAAAAGAATATTTTCGCATATGTCCACTTGGCTTCCTACTGTGCCTGAGTCAGACCGAACCTGACCTAGCTAAAACTATTTGAGCTCGACACATGTCTATCAAACATGATATGGAAATCAAAATTCGAATCAGTGAGTTATGGTTCTTTAGTATTCGACAAGTCGATATTTTTAATCAATACTGCAATACATACGTTTGTTGCCTTGATCAAGTGAAGTATCCATACCAAATGGATATTAAATATAAAATTTACCGATTGATTTAACATGTGTTACTTCAACAGCATACCAATGTCATGATTTCGATTCGTCAACAGATGGACAATATGATAAATTTTCTATATTAAAACAAAACAAAAAAATATCTATAAATCATTAAGTTTGAAAAAATGAAAATTTTTTCTTCAAAAAAAATTTTTTTTAATTTGACTTTATTGTTCGTATTGATATATTTATTGGATAAAATCGAAATGTTTTAAAATTTTTTCCACCAATAAAATGATTTATTAAATTAATAGCTTCACATGACCAATCTTCATTAATTGATTGTATTAAAATTCATGAACATTTTATAGCTTGTGATGAATAGATTTGATATTCAAGTATAAATTCATAAATTGATGATTCTTGTATGAGTTATATATTTTCTAAAATCGAAACAAAGAACAAAAAGTGTTTGAAGTTCACGATCATTATTTATAAATTATACACGATAAAAACATTGATTATGATTATTTCGAACAACACCTAATGTATTGATTGAAAAATTTTTTAAACATGGCATACAGTCATATGATATGTGTTCAAGATAAGTTTCATTAATACTACTATAGATTTGTTTCAAATTACTTTTTTTTTCTATTAATTAAATAACAAAAAAATGTGATGGTGATGTTATCAATGTTATGGTATATAAATCAATATTATCTTTTTAATTTAAATTTGTTGATGGAAGATTATGTGAACGAGATATTCGACCTGATGGATTGGTTGAAATTTTAGATTAGATAAAATTAAAGAGTAAAACACCTTTTTTTCTCATCACAAATATTTTTATTTTTCATAGAAATGAAAATCAGTCTTGATTTTTAAACAACTATAATAAATACTTGAAGATTCATATCAATGATATTGGTGCTCGGTTCAGCAGAAAGACGATGACTGTAATCGGTGACCAGCACTGCTCGGTTCTGGAAGAGAAATCAGAAAATTTGGTCAACAGATTCTACTATTTCCGAGTTCCTACTATCTTCCGGTGTATTTTATCCGTACATCATTCACTTGAATAAATAACAGTGATATCAATACAAATGTTGAAGGAAATTAAATAAGTTAGATTCAATGCAGAGGTGTTCATCGCGGCGCAGCAGCACAGATTTTTCACTCATGATGGACATCTTTCTAAGGATATGGCAATCTATATTCTAAACTAAATTGAGTGGTTAGCAGAGCCTATGTTACGAAAATTTTCTACTAATTTTAGTTTGTTTTAAACAGCATGTAAAAGAAGGTACACAAAAAAGTGAGTCAATTACATTTTCCTTCAGCTGTGGCTTCTGAAATCTTTTGACATAGTCAGGGATGATGTCTCGAGTAAAGGCATGCGTGACCACAATTTTTGGTCACAGTTACGATTATACCCATGGGACATATATGAATTCTGAAACAGTTACACCTGCTAGTATTAAAAGTGTCTTCTCTTTTTTGGACATTTCTAGTCCTTGAAGAGAGTCCAACCAGGAAGTTAGACAGTGTTATGAGCGAGTATGATGCGGTCTTATGAAAAACCAGGTTTTTCCTAAAAGATCCTGAAAAACTTTGCTTAAAATTTTTCCTTTCGAATACGTGTCTCCTTATTCAGATGTTACAGCTGTGATAAAAAGTTCATACGTATCGATTGCAGCCTCTTTGTGAACCAAAGATGGAGACAAAAGAAGAGAAAAAGAATGCTCTCAAGAAGAGTTTTGCTAAGTAACGACATTTACTCGTGATCACCATAATTGCGAATTTCTTCTATAATAATATTGGTTTGGGAATACAAACCTGCAAAATGATCACGACCATGCGTAATCCTGACTACTTTGCAGGTCTGTATTCGGATCACTCTAGGATACATTTTCATCTATGAAAGAACTAATTTTGCTTTCTACAAACTTGATAACATCACTATTATCATGAAAATTAAATCCTCTAAATCAATCCAATACATAAGAATCCGTACTCTACTATTTTGTTTCATTAAGTTTGAAACATTGACTGGTTGTCTTTGAGAAACATTGTGATTTGTTGCTTGTGGTAGAACTACTAAGTGAAATAAGATTCAGTTATTTTCTTTATAAAAATTTAACGAACTTTATTTTGGTAAATTGTAAACAATATAATCATTGAGATGAAGACGAGGATCAATGATCTGTACAATTTCCGCAAATGATACTCGTCGACTGTGTCGTAAACAAATTAATGTTTTAGCTACATCTTATAAAACATTAAAATACAATTTCTTCTTCTCCTAAAACAATTTATACCCACCTTATATTCATCAATTGTAAGTTGAATAAAATACATTGACCTAGAAAAGTAAAAAACCAATAAATAGAATCTTTTATTTCTAATCTTCGATATTTACCATTATAAAGTTGGTTGTGCAATAATACTTCTATCAAGTGATTTAGTTAAAGTATCTTCATGAAATTTAAAACAAGCTTTTTCTGTCCATGAACTATTATTATCACTATTGGCTAGTAATAACTAAAAATTATTAATAAAAATTCACTTCATGAATAAATTTTAAAAAAAATCTTTAACCTCAAATGCTGTACAAACAACTTGAACAGATAAATGAGCCAAAGATGAATTAAATGGACATCATTCATTTATGTCTTTCTTAATTATTACCATAATCGAGATAAACAAGTTCAACAGTTATTTCTGATAAAAAAAAAATTTCAAATCAATTAATTTATTTCTATCAAAATACCAGAACTATATCGTTTTATTCGAGTATGATACCATCGACTATCAACTGAATAACGAGCTAGACAAAAGCCCATTTCCATTGGTTTAAATGATACTAATGGTAGATCAGTTGTTGAATAATAATGACTACAAGAAACAAAAAGTAACGATTTTATTCACTGAAAAAGAAATCTAAATATATACTTCATAACTTGAGCAAGTTTTGAAGAGATCATGTGTATATAATGTATTTTGAACAAAGAAACATAATGACTTGACAGCGATTGAAATGAAACAAGTACTTGAAAATCTTCATCAACATTTAATAATGGTGTTGAAGATATCTATAGTTGGTAAAACTGAAATTAAAATTAATAAAAACAAAATGACCGAAGTCCCCTCTGTAAGCGGGATTAGAATTCCGTCCGCCTTCTCTACAACTTTCTTCTGGTTACTTCGCTAGTTTTAGATATAATAGATTTGCCTTTTTTTGAACTCATTTCATCTCTGATAAATATCGATTTCTCGAACATGCAAGTGTCTATGCAGGCGGAACTCATGATGTGGTTTCAGATAGCATAGATGATTTCAAAGCGGAAGCTCTTAGATTGCTTATAAACAATAGAAATCCTAATGACAAGGTAAGAATTACATCTAGAAGTCATGAAAACCTTCTATATCGTTTAACATGTCGAAAAATGTTTTTATGTGTGTGTCAATATATAGTGCATTTATGGTATCATCTATCTATAAGGTTCTATGGCTATAAATATTGTTGAAAATGACGAAATATACAATGCATGGATACTGACGTGATTACCCTTATCATATAACATTTAGGGCTACATAACTGTGATATCAATTAAGCCGAGTAGGTCGTCTCTAATGTGCAATGGTCTCTAGAACTTTGGATGAGACGGAACAATATCATCCTATGAAATGAAGGCTTTAATTCCGTAGGAAGGAATGGAACACATTTCTCTATTATTTTCCTTCAAAAAAAAACTGCAAGTTCGGTTCTATTAAAATACGAATTCGAGCTATTTTATAAGACTGGTTAATTAATATGATTTGTTATTAGAGGTATAAACCACTGCGATACAAAAATAGTCATTTGATTTTCGAAATTTTTGGATATTTAGAACTATTTTCAAGGATGTTCTTGTCAATAAGCTCTTTACTGTCATTTTCTCTCTCTTTCTTTTCAAAATTTTTCGGAATCAAGAAAACTTGAAAAAAATTTAGCAAACAGCTTTTAGCCACCGTCAATCAATGCATCAACTTCCATCTCTATCTTCTATATCCTTCTTATTAATCTTCTTCTCCAATGTCAATAGGCTTGTTCTTGCCTTTCTTGTACCATCTTTCATAAAAAGTTTTAAACCTTTTATAAAAGTTTAAACACAAAGACTGCAACTGCTTTTATGAAATTCTATGTGCTTCATACCATTGTCAGCTCAAGAATATAATGTTCATGGGTATTTTTGAAATAATTCAAGGACGAAAAAAGCTGCAGTTTTCACCAGTCGAAAGACGCAACACTGAGACGTCTCTTTTTTCTCCATCATTGTATAAGACTGTATGGGTAAACTGACGAAACTAAATAGAAGCTGAGGATTTATGGATGAAAAATGTACTAGAAAAAAGCTTTACTATTCGCTAATAATGCGAGATATGAAAATAAAATTTTCTAGGAACAAAAACCAGGTCATAGTATTAAACAGAATCCGATAAATTCAAACAGATCTCAATGACTGAGAAAATTCAATTGAAAGTTAAAAAAAATCTTTTTTTTTAT